GATATTTCATTATCTAAACAGAGAAGTGGTGGGCAAAAAACAGTGGGAGCAGGAGCATATTCTAATTTCCTGCCAGCTTCCATATTGAGTTTCCTTATGGGAATTGGTCAGGCAGTACCAGAAATCCCCCTTCCTTCCTCCCTTCCCTTTCTGATTCCCCTTTCCCTTCTCCTTCCCTTTCTTGCAAGCAGATAAGTAGCTGTGGTAGGTAGGGCAGGGACTGAGGATTGTGAGACTAACTGGGAAACTGTCACAAAACATTGAAAATGGAGATCATATGACAGCAGCAGTCCAAAGTGCAATAGCAACCAATAGTGCTGAAGCAGGTGCAACTTCCCCAAATTTCATTCCTTTGGGAATCATGGGTCCTAATGTTTGAATACTTTTAGTTAGCCAGCTTGAGATACTTTGTGTCATGTGTCTGACTAATGAAACACTTCAAAGAACTTTCAGGCATTGTTTAACCTAAAAAGCCTTTATTAGTGTAAAGGAGTGTCAGCACGGCATGGAGAATGCCAAGATCTGAATTTCCCTTCCTTTGCACATAACATTCCAGGCATTTCCCCTCCCATATTTTGGGGTCATGATTCACATCTTCCAATTAAACTGGAGGGCAAAGTTTCCCTTCTATTCCCTTCCGCGCACTTTTCTCTCCTCTCTCATTCTCATCTGAATTAATTCTAAAAGTACCAGACAGTTCTGCATATTTTGTCAAAGCAAGAATATTCAATATTAGCAGTGTTGACATCCGACCCCCCCCCTTAAAAAAGGACAGATCCTGTAATGTAAACAAAAGCATGTGTTAATGACTAGTTTTCAGTTTGTTGGGGTATTTTGCATGAAACCTTTTGATGAGCCTGTCAGCTTTCACCCCACTGGATTTCACCCAGGTAGCTTCAGACAACAGGTATCCCTTCCATTGTACTAGATACTGCAATTTCCCTTTAAAAATTCTAGAGTCAAGAATATGTTTCACTTCATAGTGTGTCTGTCCTGCAGCTACGAGGGCCCAGGTGCCTTCTTCAGGGGAGGTCTTAAAGTGGAGCCCCGAAAAGGTTTCAACAAGCTGCAATGGAAGACTAGGTGAATTCTCCCTAAAAGTCTAGGGAGTTTTAGTTCTATTGTGATTGGATTGATGATCTTTAATATGGGGAAAGGCCCCAAGAATTTTGGGTCCAATTTCTTTCTGGGCAATTTGAGGCGTAGATATTTAGTTGACAAATAAACCTTTTCCCCAACTTGGAATGTTCTTTGGGGAGCCTTCTTTCTATCAGCTTGCTTTTTATAGGTTTCAAAAGTCTTTTTTAAAGCAGTTTTTGTGTTTCACCAAACTTCTTCCCACCCCCTCACCCATTGGTCAAGTGTCTGGGAAGTGGAGGGCACCTGAGGGTATTCAGGTATTGGGCTGAACTCTTTTCTGTGGCCACTCTGAAAGGTGTGTAGCCAGTGCTGCTGTGTACAGAATTATTGTACGTCACCTCTGCAAAAGGGAGGAGGTCACTCCAGTTCATCTGTTGGTAAGAAACATAGCATTTAAGATATTGCTCCACCATTTTATTAGTGGATTCTGCAGCCCCATTGGTGGCAGGATAAAAAGCAGATGATAAACCTTGAGATGATCCAATTCATTTAAGAAAACTCCTCCAAAACTTCGCTGCGAACTCCACCCCCCTGTCCAAAATTATTCGCTTAGGAGCGCCATGCAGCCAGTAGACATGTTTCAGGAACAATTTGGTTCAGGAACAGTCGTTGGGCAGATGGGAGTCCTTTGCAGGCGATGAAATGAGCCTGCTTCTAAAACAGGTCTATCACAGTCCAGATGACAGTATTTCCTCTACTTTCAGGTAGGTCTACTATAAAGTCCATAGCTATTTATTTCCATGGTTGAGAAGGGTCTGCCACAGGTTGCAGTAACCCAGGGGGTTTCCCTGGAATTCTTTTCATTGTGGCACATACAGTGCTTTACATAGTTTTCCACATCCCTTTTCAGCCCCAGCCACCAAAATTGCCGGTGGGTGAGGTGTAGGGTTTTCAAATATCCAAAGTGTCCAGCCTGTTTTACATCATGGGTGTGTTTGAGAGCATTAAGATGGAGAGCTTCTGGCAAATATAGTTTCCCCAATTTGTAAGCCAAGCCATCCCTGCACGTTAGGGAGGTTTGATTAACTTTGAACCATTGATCGGTGAGGAGCTCTCGTTTTATTTTCTTTACCCCAGGGTCACCAGGATTGAGGACTCTGCGAGGCGTAAGTTGAGTGGCAGTTTGTGGATTGGGGATAATCGCCTCGTTAACCTCCTCCTGTTCACTTTTGTATTGGGGTAACCAGGAGAGCGCATCAACTAGGAAGTTTTTTCCTCCTGGTATGTACTTTAGAGTGAAGTTGAAGGAGTTAAAGTACTGTGCCCACCGCACTTGCTTTGGGGACAATTTGCGGGGAGTTTTCAGTGCTTCTAGATTTTTGTGATCTGTCCATACCTCAAATGGCACCTTGCTCCCTTCTAGATAGTGTCGCCAGTTTAATAGTGCCCACCTAATCACGAAGGCCTCTTTTTCCCAGATTGCCCATCTCTACTCGCTTTCAGTAAATTTCTTAGAAGTGTAAGTGCAGGGTTGCAGGACCCCACTTTTGTTCTTTTGTAGTAACACAGCTCCAACTGCCACATCACTGGCATTGGCTTGAATCACAAAGGGCTCATCTGGGCAGGGGTGCTTTAGGACCAGTTCAGCAGCAAATAGTCTCTTTAAATTCTCAAAAGCTGTTTGACAGTCCATCATCCATGCTAGTGCCTCCTGTGTGGGGGGTGTAATCTGGCCCACAGATTCTTGTGTGACCCGGTTGGATTTTTCTCTCATAGCCACTGAGCAGGTTTCCTTCTCATCACTGGCTCCGGTCTGCTCTGCAGTCGGAGGTAGGGGACTGGACAGGTTGCTGCTCGATGTCCCTCTTGTCCACACGAAAACATTTATTTGATGAGCCTGCAGGTGGTCTGGGTCTCTCAGCCATTTCAGTAGTTGGATGTTGTCATGGGTGTGATTGCTGTCCGGGTTGCTTTGGTGGCTACTCAGATTCAGGTGGGGGTGGGTTCTTATAGTGGGTGAGCTGAACGTCTAGCTTCACTGATGCCTGGTACCATTCTTGCAGCTGATCAGGTACAGCTTGATAGATGCAGGCCTGAGAGAGGTGATTGTCTAATCCCTCAATGAAGTGATGGAGTAAGGATTGTTCAGGCCACCCCTCTATTTGACCTGCTATCTTGCAAAATTCCCACACATACTCCAGGGCAGGCCTTCTGGCTTGTTTTATTTTGTGGATTTGTTCTCTTGCTTTAAGACCAATAGATGGGTCCTCAAATCTTTCTCTCAGCCCTAGGATTTGGGGGCTTGCTCATTATATAAATTGTTCAGCCATTTGGATGCTTCTCCCTCTAGGCTAGACGCAATCACATCGACCATGGCCCCGGGGTCCGGGTAGAGATAGGCCCAGCAATTCAAATGAGAATGCACATGGTTGAGGAAAAAAACCAGCTTCTCTGGGTCCCCATCGAAGGTTGCTCTGAAAAGTGGTACAATTATAGGCTGTTGGGGGCCCCACTGTGGCTGCTGCTGCTGACCCCATCCTGGCTGCAGATTTATTCCCAGGGGTTGCATGTTTGGGGGCTGTGGCCAATCTCCCTTCTGTGGTCGGTCTCCCACCAGTTGCTGATCTCCTGGCTTCTGCAAGGCCTCTATTACCAGTGGCAAGCTCAGAGATTGCTGACCATCCATCTGCTGGGGAACCCAATCTCCCCATTGCTGCAGATGCCTCAAACTGGATTTCCCTCTCTCTTCAGGGTTGGAGTCCCTGGCAGGGGAAGGCAGGATCTGAAAGGCTTTCTGATGTGCAATGGGAGGGGGGTTCCTCTCTGCAGGAATTGATTTCTGCTTTTCACCTCTGGATTTTGAAATCTTTCCAAGTGACTTACCCAAAACTTTGTTATCTCTCCATTCTGCTTTTGAAGTCTTTGCTCCCAGCTGGGAGATCTACCAAAGTTCTTTCTTCCCTGGCTGGCTGGCTGCTGCTCCACTCCCTGGGGAAGCTGCTGCTGCTGCTGTGTTCCCTTCTCTGGGAAAGCAGCTGCTGCTGAGGTGCTGGCCTCAAGCCATCTTTCTCCTTCCATAATGAGATTTTCCCCAAATCTTTGTCAGTCTATCCCTTTAGTTTAGGAATAGTGACCAGAGCTCAGGACCCCTTAATTAGTTTAAAAAAATTGCGGATCTTGGCATGATGTCATGTGTCTGACTAATGAAACACTTCAAAGAACTTTCAGGTATTGTTTAACCTAAAAAGCCTTTATTAGTGTAAAGGAGTGTCAGCACAGCATGAAGAATGCCAAGATCTGAATTTCCCTTCCTTTGCACATAACATTCCAGGCATTTCCCCTCCCCTATTTTGGGGTCATGATTCACATCTTCCAATTAACCTGGAGGGCAAAGATTCACTTCCATTCCCTTCTGCACACTTTTCTCTCCTCTCTCATTCTCATCTGAATTAACTCTAAAAGTACCAGACAGTTCTGCATATTTTGTCAAAGCAAGAATATTCAATATTAGCAGCATTGATACTTTGTTTCAAAAATTGTTGCCCTATTTACATGCCAAGAGGTTTAGTAATATATAAATAATACACCTCTGAAAAAAATGTATTTACAGAATAACAGAATTGAAATGGACCTCAGAGATCTTCTAGTCCAACCCCCTGCTCAGGCATGAGACACTATACCATTCTGGACAAATAGCTGTCCAATATCTTCTTTAAAATCTCCAGTGATGTGTATTTAAAGAGTAGCATTGCATTTCAAAGGATTCACAATCATGAATAATCTGATATGCGAATAAGGAATATTGAATTTTATTAAACCTGAATCTGAGGGCTTTTGAATAGCTAGTCCTAAGATACTTTCTCCAACTTGTGTGTTTGAATATGCTGAACTATGACTTCCATAACTACCAACCAATGATCAGGGATATGAGGAATAATAATAATACAAAATCATCTTGAAGATAGAAAGTTGTGAAAGTCCACTATATAAAATTTTATGTATGTGGATGTTGGGAAACACAGAGTAGATAAAATTCAGCAAAAAAAAAGGAAATGTAATGGGAGACTGAAGAGAAAAAAAGGAAGATATTGCTTTATTTTGTATCACACATACACTTTGGCGACCACTCATTTAGGCTGTCCTTGAACTTCTGGACTCCACAAAAAAGAACACTAACATGTGAGTGTCTTTAGGAGGGTGGCAAACTGACCATTTCTTGCAGATAAAGAATGAAAAATTGATTTCTGGATCATACCACTTTGCAGATTTACATTGTTACATGTCTCCAACAAAATGAAAATTTAAAAGCAGGAAAAATACTTGAGCACTTCTTAATTTTTTTCCCATTATTTAAATATATATTTGCACATACATACATATAAACATGCTAAGAAGTAATCTGCTCATCAGGTCATTTTATTTAGAAAGCAGGAAAAAAATCATTTCTGGATATCCTGATCTAACCAAAACCTTTTTATAGCTCTATGAGATTATGAAATTTTGTTGCTATGTTTTCTAATTACTTTTAAAAGAGCTTCCTTCACCTCTCTGTTTCTTAAGCTGTAGATAAGAGGGTTGAGCATAGGAGTCAGGACAGTATAGAATATAGAAAAGGTTTTATGTAAATCTTTTAGTGTTTCAGTCTCTGGAATTATATAGACAAGAAATATTGACCCATAGAAAAGTGTCACTACAATCAGATGAGATGAACATGTGGAAAAAGCTTTCTGTTGGGCAGTTTTAGAATTAATTTGCAATACATTATGAAGAATATAGATATATGAGGCCACTGTTATGAGAAAGGGTGGACCTGTTCCCATAATGCCTAAAATAAATGTAGCAAGCTTTACTAAGTGTGTATTGCTGCATGAAATGTTTGCTACTGGATATATATCACAAAAGAAATGATCAATTTCATTGGGCCCACAGAAGATAAGTTTCAGCAGAAAGTAGGTTATGATAGTGTTGGTCAAAAGGCCACTCATCCAAGATGTGAGGGCCAATTGGAGGCAGAATCTACCATTCATGAGAATGTTGTAATGCAATGGTTTGCATATTGCTAAATATCGATCATAAGACATCATTGCTAAAAGGTAGCATTCAGTGGCTGCAAAAAATCCAAAGAAATAGTATTGTATGATGCATCCATAGACAGAAATAGACTGATCTCCAGTTATAAAACTAGCTAGCATCCTGGGCAGAATGGTTGAAATGTAACATGTCTCCAAACAAGACAAATTAACAAGAAAGAAATACATAGGGGTATGAAGATGCTGATGAATCACAACCAATGAAACAATTAGGAGATTTCCAGCAATGGACAAAGTATAAATAGGAAGAAATAATATGAAGAGGATTATTCGCAATTCAAGGATGTTACCAAATCCCAGGAGGATAAATTCTGTAGTAATTGATTGATTTCCTCCTTTTTGATGGAAAATAGAGAAATTCTGAAATAAAAATGAAAAATGTTATTAATCTTGCTGGCCAAAGTTCTGTCTTTCCTTTTCTTTTCTTAAGATCAGAGTCTAACATTTTCTTTGTAATTATTTTGGATATTTAGTATATTATTATCAATTGTTTCCATTAAATAATGCAGTGTCACATATCTGAACAGCCTACAAGGTTTTATATTTTTTTAATAGATACTCTTCTTACAAAGAAATATTGGGAACTTTTTTTAGAACCCTGACAACCAGAATGAGACAAGTAATTTAAACAGCAATTTGGCAAGTCAGGAAGATAGGTACTGAGGGTAAAGTTTCGTACCGCGAGCTTGTGAGTTGGCTAGATCATGTATTCATCCTAAGTCACATCATTTGGATTTTTTTACCATGAGTTCTGCAAATACATTTTTTTTGTTTTGCAGGAAACTTTTGTTCAGGCATTGAGAACATTTGTTTCTGAAAAAAAAATCAGCAGAATTTCTCATCTGTTTTCTTGAAAATTTTGAATTTGAGGACGGCAACCTGGCTCAGAGTTAGACCTTATAGAAAAGACAGTCGTGAGATCACTGTGCCTCCCTTCTTTGCCAAAGACTAGAACTACTCTTTAAAGACTAAGTTACCTTTAAAAGTAAACTGTAAATTCAGCTTCAAACTAGGAAAGTTCAATTCCTTTGTCACAATCAGCCTTATACTAAATGGAATGGGCAGTGCTGAAGAAATTGGGCAGGATGAAAAGGAGAACCTAAGTGGGACAAAGGAGGAAAAAACTGGGATAAGTAATAGATAAATTAAAAAATACACAAATAAATCAAATAATTAAAGGAATCCAAACTAAAATAATGCTCTAAAGGAGAGCAAGAACTAAAAGAGAGAATAGACAGTCTGCATATGTCTATATCATAAATTTTGTTGTCTTTGACTTACAACAATTTGTTTAGTGACCATTCAAAGTTGTGATAGCTCTGAAAAAGTGACTTGCGACTCTTTTTCACATGATCGTTGTGACATCCCCATAGTCGTATTATCAAAATTTGAGCACTTCACAACTGGCATATATTTATGGCAGTTGCACTATCCTGGGTTCATATGATCACCATATGTAACCTTCTCAGCTGGCTTCCAACAAGCAAAGTCAATGAAGGAAACCAGCTTCACTTAACAGCCACAGGATTCACTTAACAACTGAAATGATTTGTTTTAACAACCGTAGAAAAAAGGTCATGAAATGGAGCAAAATTCACCTTATCTTGCTTAGCAATAGAAATTTGGGGCTCCATTGTGGTCATAAGTTGAGGACTTCCTGTTCAAAGTTCTCATATCAAATAAATTAAAATTTATTTCACTTAATTTGTGTCTATAAGAAAACTCCAGCTTTTAACTTCTAATGAATTTGTTCAGGTCACAACGTAATTACAGTCTCTTTTACAACTTTTGTATAATTCTTAGCTATTGGTTTTGTCTGAAAAAGGAAATTGGGAAAAGACATTTTTTTTTTCACTAGATAAGTTTTTTAATTCTAGTTGTTAGATTGCTGTTCCCAGAGGGGAAACACAAGAATCACCTGAAGCATTATTGCACACAAGGTTTTTTCATAGGTTAAATATTTGTAGGGTCAGATATTTATGTGGCTGTTATTTAATGTGTCACAAAACTAGATAGCTAAAACTTGTTCATTCCTCTCATTTTAAAACATTAACTTATATAATCAATAGTTTCAAAAATTGTAAAAGAATGAACTTGCTGTTTCTTTATTCTGCCTCTTTTTATCAACTGCATAATCTATGAAAGCAAATTCCTTCCTTTTCTACTTCTATCCTCTCTAGCATACAAATACAAATCTCAAAAGAGACAATCCTTTGTACAAATTTGTCACTATATCATCACAATTGCATATTTGAAATTGTTGATATAGATCTAATTTTTAGAATCTTAGAGGGTAAAAATAAGAAAGAGTTATATAGGGAGAGAAGGAGATAGCCAAAACATAGTTAGGCATCCTTTCATTATTGATCTTCACTGAAAAACACCTTTTCCTATTCCTTTCTTTTTTTTTAAGAAAGCCTATATTGACATTTTAAATCTTGCTTGTTCTGTGTTTTATTTCCTAAGTTCCATATATCCTGAAAATAATCCCAGTCTATCTAATATCATTGTCTTCGCAGCTATTCACTGTCCTAAATAAATCAAACAAAAAAAAACCCAAATCTATCTATTTGTATTTATAAACTAGTGAAGTTTATTATGACAGATATCCTTTGGATTTTCAGGAACTTGATGTGTCTGATCTTCTTTCAAAACCTTCTTCCTAAGGGCTATTATTATGCATCAGTCAATTCTATAAATTAAATTTGCTTCATTTAAGAACATGTTTTCTTTTGCCCTGAATATTTTAAGATAAGGAGAAGAAGCATATATGAATTTTACCTATAGAATTTGAAACACATATCCTTCTGTCGTGGTTTCTCCTTCTCAACAAAAACAAATATATTTTGCAACAATAGAGTATTTCACTGAATAAAATATATTTTATCCTCAGATTCTGATCCTTATCAGGCTCTACATTTTTCACTTGAAGACAAAGCTAGAAGAAGCATTGTGCACAAGATGTCTAGATATGCAATTTTTATTTTAAACAGAAAGGAAAGGATTCTCATCAAAACTGGGATCTAGAGGGAAAGTGTCTTCTCTTTTTGATGTTCCTCTAGCCTAGAATAGCAGCTTTGCTTCTGACAGTTTCATATGATACGTAGAAGGGTACTGCATTATTCACTCATCTAGCCAGCTTCTAACCTCTAACTTTTTGCACCTGAATAACAGTAATGCAATTTCCTTTATATAGATGCCAAATACTAAGTAATAAAGACATGTTAATTTGTGATTAGTACACAAAATGCTATTTTAACCATTCCAAGTCCTCCAAAATTTGGAGGAGGAGAGATTTATTCTTTCTATTTTTTTTCTTAAAAGAGAAATGAATGAACTTATTTATTTAGATTAGCCCCTCACTTACAAAGAAATATCAACATTTGACTTACAGATTTAAAATTTGAGAAGTCTCCTTGAAATCCTTTACAGATTTCAAAAATGCTATAAACTATCTTTAATATAGTAGTATCATTAAAAAAACAAACCAATGCAAAACAAACATCCCCACCTTTGTAATTTCAAGAGCTTACAAAAGAGATGGACTTGAGAAAAATTCATACAAAGATTAAATATTTCTCACTGGCATAATTTAGAATTCTCAAAAATAGTCTGGGAGCAACATTTGGAATTCATGAAATATCTTCTCAGAATTCACATGCAAATTAAGAATAAATCTTTTAATGCATTGGTTTGTTTGCTGCAGAAGAAAAAATAAATATTCTACTAACTTGCACTGTGTGATAGTTGATTTTGCTTCTCAGCTGTTAGCATACGGATGTTAATGTGTTCTAGATTTTCATTTTGCATGTTTTTACTTTATCTCTACAATATCTAGAAAATCTATTTTTATAAAAGTTCATTAAAGTAAGTGATAAATTTATTGAATTAAGTAAAACTGTTCAGAGTACTCAGATTTACAAAGAATATGCTTCTCTTCAGTTATTAAAAAAATAATAGAAATATTTTATCCAACTATCATATATCTGGCTACCACCTATCAATTTAACATTTATCTACTGATAAAACTCAAATTATATAACTAAAATATATTCTACTGCAAATACATCACACAGAGCATGACAAATATGTAAAGATTTACCTCTGAATTGTTTAGATTGTTAGGTGGGATCTCGGTGGTGTTCCATTCATGTTCCATCCCAAAGATGTATGTTTTTTTATCTTCTAAGTCCAAATGTCTCTTTTAAATGGTCCTAAAATCTTTCTTAGTTTTCCTTTCATGCAGTATATGAGCATACTTAAACATTCAATGATTATGCACACGTTTGAAATTGCTTCAAAATAAAAGTCTATAATTTACTTTCTGCATTAATCACAAAAAGCATAGCAAAATTTGGTTATCTTTGACGTCCAGATAGAGAGAGGAAACAAATCTGGGACCTGATATCTCATTCTCAACTGATAATTGTTGAATAAAGATACTGATAACAATAACTTCAACTATTATACATCTGTAGCAATAATAAAACAATCTTTGCTCAAAATAGGTCCATGCTTATTTTCAACCATTTGTAGTTAATTCAGTGTTAATTGTTTCAACACTGAAGTAACCTAAGTAACAAACTATCTCTAAATATTTTAAATGTTTGATGTTGAAAAATCCTACACCTTCTAATAATTTAAAGCATATAAAATCAGTTCCTCTATATGAGTTAAAGGAAAATTTCTTTCATTAAATTAATTGGGTACTAAAATGTCAGTTTGTAAGAAATTCTGGGAGTTATGCCAAGCATCTCAAACTATTTTTAATCTACTGAAATTCCTGCAATGGGAGATTTTAAAAATCAAACAAAAGAAACAAAGCAATGTTCAAACAAGAAAAGTTGTATGTCTATTTCTTATTATTATGAGATTTATTTGCTACACATCTTGTAGATCAAAGCAGTTATGAGCTTATGTTATGATGCTTTTAATTGTCTTTCCACAATGATCACCACTATGTCCTTAAGGTATAAATTCAAATTCTCCTTCAAGTGAACTTGACTGTGGGTGACTTTAAGTTAAATTTGACTGCCAGTGGCTTTATTTATTTACTTACTTACTTACTTGCTAACTTACTTACTTATTGCCACCTATTTGCACATGGCAACTCAAGGCGGCTTACATGGGTATAAAAATAAATTATTTATTACAATATAAACCCCCCTACCCCTCTCCCCTTCCCCCCTCCCCTACTTCCCAGAGCTGATTACAGGGTCACAAATAAACAAATATAATCTAACTAACATAAACCAACTATACTTTTCAGTTTCATATTTCTTTTGAATATAATCAATCCATCTTCTCCAAACCATAATATATCTTTCTTGTGAATGGTCCTTCAAGTAGGCAGAGATTTTCGCCATTTCTGCTAAATTAGACACCTTAAGTATCCATTCTTCCAAAGTAGGCAGTGAGTTTTTCTTCCAATATTGCCCGACCAATAACCTTGCAGCTGTTATAAGATTCAACATCAAATTGATTTCTTTAACATCAAAATCTACAATAATACCGAACAAAATTAATTGCAGAGTAAACTTTATCTTTCTCTTAAAAATCTTTTGAATATTCCACCAAATCTTAATCCAAAAAGCTTTAATATCTCTACAAGTCCACCAAATATGAAAATAAGTTGCATCTAAATTTCCACATCTCCAGCATTTGGGCTGTAAATTCGGATACGTGCGAGACAACTTTTGGGGATTCAAATGCCATCTATAAAACATTTTATAAAAATTTTCTCTTAAATTTTGCGCTTGAGTAAATTTTACATTTCTAACACAAATTGTCTCCCATGTATCCAATAAAACCAGATCTTGAATATTTTGAGCCCATTTGACCATACAATCTTTAACTAACTCCATTTCAGAGTCCAATTCTATTAAAGCACTGTAAATTCTTTTTATATCGACTTTGATCTTTAATCTGTTTTACCAAATTCACATCCTCTAAAGTAATACCAACCTTTTGATTTATACTCCACCTCACTAACAATTGATTATAATAAAACCAAAAATATACATTTTCTTGTTTCAACTCAGTTAAGGGCTTTAATTGCCAATGCTGCCCAACCAAACTAAGTAATTCCTTATAAGAAATCTTATCCAAATTTACTCCCCTAGATACTCCCTCTATCTCATGTCCAGGAATCCCCCAAATTGGGATTTTATAATTTAACCTATAATAATATTTCTTCCAGACAGTAACAAGGCACTTCTCAAAATATGGGTTTTAAAAACCTGATCAACTTTTTTTATCATGAATTAAATACGCGTGCCATCCATATAATAAATCCCATCCCTCAAGAGAAAGAATATTTTTATTTGTTAAGTTGAGTCAATCACTAATCAGCATTAAAGCCACCGCATCATAGTACAATTTTAAATTAGGCGCCTTTAGTCCTCCTCTTTCCCGTGTATCCTGCATAATTTTGAATTTAACTCTCGGCTTTTTCCCTGCCCTAATAAATTTGTTAATCCCCTTCTGCCATTCCTCCAAATTATCATCCTTTTTCAAAATAGGTATCATCTGAAATAAAAAAAGAAACTTTGGAAGTATATTCATTTTAACTGCCGATATTCTCCCCAACAAAGATAATTGTAATTTTTTCCAGTTATTTAAGTCCTTTTGCACTTTTGCCCATAATGTCTCATAATGAGAGCCGAGGTGGCGCAACTGTTAGAGTGCAGTACTGCAGGCCACTTTAGCTGACTGTGTTCAGCAGGTCAGCGGTTCAAATCTCACTGGCTCAAGGTTGACTCAGCCTTCCATCCTTCCGGGGTAGGTAAAATGAGATTGTTGGGGGCAATGTAAATATATATATACATTGCTTACTGGTGTACACCGCTTAGAGAGTGCTTGCACTTAAAGTGGTATATAAGTCTCATAAATAAATAAATAAATATTTTTATACAATTTAACATTAGAAGCTGTTATATATACTCCTAAATATTTAACCTTTCTCACTATTTCATTTAATTTAACTATAATATCCTTTTCCTTCATAGACATATTTTTCACTAATATTTTAGTCTTATTATTATTTACCTTAAAACCAGAAACTTTCCCATGCTGAATTAGAATTTCAACCAAATCCCTAACCGAATCTGTCGGCTGAGATAATGTCACAATCAAATCATCAGCAAAGGCTCTCAACCTACAATCATTCTTATTTATTTTTATTCCCTTTATACGAGGTGACTCCCGAATTTTGATAAGTAAAATCTCCATTGTTAAAACAAATAACAATGGTGATAAAGGACATCCCTGACTTGTACCCTTTTCAATTTTAAATGCTTCTGTTAATCTCCCATTAACTATGATTTGTGCAGATTGTTGTTGATTTATAGCCTTAAGGGCAGATAAAAATTTATCCCCAAAATTCATTTCCTCTACTACTCTAAATAAAAATTGCCAATCTAATCGATCAAAAGCTTTTTCAGCATCTAAGAAAATCAAAGCCGCAGGGATTTGATTGTTCTTATCTAAATACTCAATTAAATTAACAATTTGTCTAACATTATATTTCATATATCTTTCAGTTATAAATCCAGATTGATCACTATGAATCAATTGTTCAAAACTCACATTAATCTATTAACCAATATTTTTGAAAAAATCTTATAATCTGTATTCAGAAGCGATATAGGCCTATAATTTTGGGGCTGAGTCAAATCTTGATCCTCCTTCAGGATCAATGATATAAAAGCCCTTCTCCATGATGGAGATACCTCTGCTCCCAACAAAATATTATTAAAAAGTTCCTTCAATGGTTCTATCATTTCTTCAGATAACATTTTATAATAAATTGCTGTTAATCCATCTGTGCCTGGAGCCTTACCAACTTTTAATTGTTTAATTGCCCAAACAATCTCTTCAGAAGTAATTAAACCATTAATCTCATCTCTTTGTTCAATAGTAAGTTTAGGAAAATGTGATTCCTGTAAGTATTTTTCTATATCTAAAACTTGTATGCTTTCACTAGCATGTAACTTTGAATAAAAATCTAAAAAACTTCTTTTAATCAAATTTTGTTGATAAACTTCTTTACCTTTATAATTTATTTTCTCTATAATCCTTGATTTCTGTTTCTTTTGCAGTTGGTAAACCAACCACCTACCAGGTGTTTTTGCATTGCAAAATGTATTATGTTTCATATATCTCAAATTAATTGCGATCAGATCAGATATTATTAGGAGATTTATAAGAACCCTTCTTGTCTTTACTTGAATCAAAACACCATTCCAATCTCCCATCATAATTACTGATTTATAATCCAACTGAATTATTTTCTGATATATCAATTTATAAAAATATTTTTGTTGCTGATTAGGAGCATATAATCCAATGACAAGACTTCTCTTGCCATTTAATAATAATTCAATAATAACATATCTTCCTTGTGGATCAGACTCAATTAACTTCGGTAATAAGTCTTTCTTCACATAAATAACTACTCCTGCTTTTTTCTGTGGAGCAGAGGCTATAAAATGTACTCCCAGCTGGGAGTTAATCAAATATTTTTCATCCTTTAAAGCAATATGAGTCTCTTCCAAACATATAACATCATTCTTATGTTGTTTCAAATAGTAAAATTCTTTCTTTTCTGTGGAGAATTCAGGCCATTAACATTCCATGTCAGGAACTTTGCCATCGCTAGGAGCTTGAAGCTTTTGGAACACTGCATCTAGATCTGCAGTTGATGACCTCTTCAGTCTTGTTCCTGGCTCAGAGGTAGCCGTCTGTATTGTAATTCCAGCATCTACCTTTTGTTGTTCTTTTTCTCTGCATTTATGGGCTGTATGAGTCACTCTCTGCTCCCTTGGATCTTCTCTTATCTCCAAACACTGTTGCATAGATTCAACCAACAACTCTTCTCATGTTGGTGACATTGCTCCTGCAGCCAATTGTCCTTCAAACTTACTTTCATTTCTTCTAGATCTTGGAGATGGTGGTGCACCTGCCTTCAGAACAGAAACATAAAAATCTCTTACTTTTAAAATTGTATTAAGTCTGTAACGTGTTCCAACATAATTCACCACTATGCCAACAGGTACATCCTATCTAAATTGAATCTGTCATTTCTTAAGCTCCTCAGCCAAAAAAGCAAAATCCATTCTTCTGAGAATTTTTGGAGGTATTTCTTTTAAAATTATGACATCTTGAGTTGCAATTTGAAATCTTTGCTTATAAAAAGCCTGTATAATTTCATTACGAAGTGATCGCCTGGAAAAATAAACAACCACATCTCTTGGTAGATTTCTCTGCTTCGCAACCTATGAATTAACTCTAAAAATTTTCTCTATATCTCTCAACATTTCTTCAGGATCACATCCCAAAATAGAGGCTAATTCTGCTGCAATTTCTTCTTTCAAATTCTCTTGTACATTCTCCTTCAACCCTCTTATTCTCAAAGCAAACTCCATATCTCTGTATTGTGACATTATAATTTCATTCTGTACTGCATCCACATTATTTTCAACTCTTTTAACTCTTCCTTCTAATCTTTCAACATTTCCAACCACCTTATCCACCCTATCATCCAGGCATTCTACATGGGCCGCAAGCCCCTGAAGAGCCAGCACAATATCTTCCCTCATCTGATGATCTTTCTGCTCCAAAAGCTCTGCTGTCTCAGCCTTAATCTTTTGCACAGTTTTCTCCATAGCATCCTGTACAACATTCTGTACAACATTCTGTATATCTTTAAATGAAAGTACTTGAGATGGGGGAGAGAGTGGAGGAGACTTAGGCTTAGGTTGCTGTATAGTCTGTGTTACTGGAGAGGATATTGAAGCTTTAGAAAGAGAAGAAATTCCATGATGTTTTGAAGCCATTTTTTTTAAAACAAAAAGAGATGAGAAAAAGGAAAAAATCACTTCTTATAATAACAAAATAAAATAAAGGGGTAATAAAAACAACTCCCCCTTACTCAAAGAAGAGAAAAACTCTTTA